GACATAAAAAAATAATAAAAATAAAAAGACGGCTATCTACTATTCTTTAAGATCTATAAACATAATCAAGATTCGTATAGCGAAAATAAAGATACGGTAAATGTTCGTATAAGAGAAATAATCTGTCAATTTCTTACAAAAGAAAAAGAAAAAAAAGGAAATGTTGGTCAGTGCTTGCGCAGACAGTCGATGTGAGAGTTCGATAAGAGAAGTATCGTAGAAATTCCTACTCTTTTACGGCGTAAATCCGATTCGAGATGCAGAAGAAAATATCCTAAGAAACCTTAACCACTCGTTTATGATCTGTAAATCACGGATCGTTTATTATTATAGACTATTTCGAAAGAAACTGAAAGGCTTAAGGTCGAGAAAGGAAAGAAGAGATCGAAGGAAAAATCTCGAAAGAGAGAGAGATAAGATATGAAAAAAAGAAGAGAAACATAGCGAAAGATGACGATGAGGTGAAGAAGAGTTGAATAAAAGAGCGAAAGGAAATAGGAGAACGTACTTTTGTGTGGACTTGTAGGAGTGGAAGGCAACCCTGCGGGCAGCCAATCAAATAAAGTAGTCCGAGGTTGCTTTGCTGGATGCAAATTCGGCCCCCGTGGGCTTTCTGTTTTCCTCTCCTTCCCTTTCTGTCGCTCTCACCAGTTCGCTGCGCTTCTCACCCTCTAACTCTGTTGGAATCTGTACACGGACTTCTGGGACACACGAAAATCCTCTAGCTACCCACCGACACCGACATATTCCCTCTACGTATTGTTCCATCCTGTGAGCTCTTTTCAATCTCGATCCACGAGAAAGCATTCTGCTCGCTTTTCCTTCCAACTCGATACACACGGCTTCTATAAACAACGGTTCTAAAAAGTGATAATTTTACAGATGTTTAATCTACTGCGAAGATGTAATATCGTTAACAAAATCTCGAACTATCGAAATTGAAATGAAATTTGTACGATGTAAATACGATGTAAACTCCGTTTATTTTTCGAAAGTTCGTTTACCATTTGTGATAGAATTTTTGTTCTTTGCGAATATATCTGAATTTCATATAAATTTCAAATCGTTATACTGCTTGAAATAATTAAGAGGTTTCGCTTCCATCCCTCCGTCTGTTTATAAGTTCATTAAAATTCATAGAATTAAGATTTGGTATTTGTACAATGGAATTTATACCGTGAATGATTAAAAGCCAATAAAACTTAACGTAATTATTATAATTAAAGGCCGTACATATTAAATTAAGAAATATAATATAGAAATATAATATAATAAGAAAGAATTTTAAAAAATACGCGTACGCTAACACAACCTAAGTACAAGTTGTAGTATTTCATTAATTTGTAATGAGTGATACATCAAGGTGTTCCACGATCGAAGAAAATCTTAGCGACATCTGCTTAATTCTATGCACGAAATCCAAGCGACTAACGGAGTACGAAGATGCTATATCGATCGAACCCGTGTATCTCCCCGAGTCTGTAACTTCCTTGACCAAGGTGTGTCTGTGTATAGATCGTAGTGGTCGTGCAAGAACACAGCGAACAAACCCGAGAAGGAATCGAATCACGAGTCTCGTTCCTAATTATGCCGTAATGAAAATAAATCGTTACATTTGTCGTGTATTACGACTGTCGTGTTCCTTTAGACATTTTCGCGAGATCATTCTCCCCCTTCGTTTCACCCTTTTTCCATCGGCGAGGAAAGGATTCTCTCTTCCTACCGGGAACTTCCTGATCGTCTTCTTCGGCTTCCGCTACGCCACCTGTTTGATTCTCTCCAAGGTACACTCGCTATCTATTTGTCTATTTCGGCATTTCCACGCTTCTTCCCTCCCCATCCGGAAGTCCGCGACTTCGACAGGATTCAACTTCCAGCTAGTAGTTGGCTCACCCCGTCGCTGTCTCGCTTGAACAATCAATTCCAATTTCACGGGAATCTCTTTTAAATCTTGCATTTTCCGTGTTTCGCCCCGGGACCGTCGCGTCGTCTGAGGCTTCCTCCGTGGCCAGAGGTATCCGACAAAGAGAACGATACAACCCGGCTGGAGCGATCATCTGCATCAGTGTTTCCCAACCTTTATCAAGTCATCTCACTGACTTTTTATCATAGGACAGATAATCCGTAATCTTAGCTCGAATTCTTATAGAAAGGCATTTTTAATAGTCTGATCAAATAATTAAAATAATGTAAGACGTTTAATATACAGAGCGTGACAGGGCGCGTGTTACAACCAAATATTTTTACATGTGAAGCCTCGCTCTTGAGAAAGTCCATGTCAAATACTACTGGATTAAATACATTCAGAGAGAAGATCTGGATTTAGGTACGACCACACTAAATTGCAACACCTTTACGTTTATTTGTAATATATCAGTAAGAGCAGCAGTATTATAATTATAATAGTAATAATTATAGCGCAATAGCTATTATGTACAACCAAACAAAAAACAAATTCTTATGTCGTAAGTTTAGGAAAATATTTTACATAGACGTATCGAATTTAAAACCGCTTAAAACGATGAACGACATACATGTTCTCCCTTTTTTGTCTTTTTACTTTACAATCCCCTTAGAACATCTTTCGTCGTCCTTTATACGGAAATGTACAGTCCTCGAACGCCACGAACACATCCTTTTTCTTCCATGATAAATTTACATATACACGATAGAAGAACGTTTATAGTAAAGAATAAATATATGTATATATGTGCACTAAGTATCTCTTAACAAGTTCTGTCATCAATTAATCCTTACATATTATGACCACTATCGGTTAAAATTGATTGCTCGAAAAATCCGTGTTTGATCCTCATACCCACGCTAAAAAATCATGTTCATTCACGTCAGAAACACTTGTCGAATTAATTAGAAAGAAGACAAAATAAAAGAAAAATTTATTATCTAATACACGCGACACAAGGTACCTGCGATCGCTACAACAACGTTTCATGTCGGATGTATGGTACAATAAGGTTCCTTTCACGCTGACCAGCCATTGTAAGCTTTTTCAAATAACAACGCGACGACATGGAAACTTTGCATCGACAAAGTAGAAGATATTTTCACTGACGTTCTTATTAATCTACACTCCTTTTTGTTCATTTCGTGTTCCCTTAATCATAAACTTGTGTATAACGTTACAGTACGTAAAAGAATGTTAATGTTTCGCACGACACCGACACATATCTAGCGTACTACAATCCCCTTAATTAACTAAGACCTAAAGATAACGATATTGGAGAACTTGCTGGGAGATACGAATTGCTCCTGACTTCGCTCTGTACAACGGCGTTATCCGTGGAGAGATTCGAAACGTTTTTTCTATAGATTACCACAAATCACAGATCGATCGAATGAAATTTCGACGAAAACCAAATCATCGATGGTTCCTCGAGTTTAATATACAAACGTGCGAAGCTTAGAAAGAAAGTGCATGCAGGAATGAGTCTTTGACTCGTTGAAAGTCGTAAGTAAGGTCGTAACGAAAATTTCAGCGATTCATCTCGCGAGATACACGGCGAAAAATTTGAATCCTGTTTCCACTAGTTTGTCCATTGTTCAGCGTACTACGATCAACATTCGTCCAGGAAGAAGAAATTTCTTTTTACGTATCGCGAAACAGGCGAACAAAGGAAAGGAAGGAATATTCACCGAAGGCACTCCAACTTGTTGCGCCCAGGAACTGTAGTCTCGCTATTCTCGCGATGTCGTTAGATACATATAATCGTCGTCACCCGAGAAAAAGAACAATAAATAAAAATCGTATGTTTCACATTCAATCAATCGAATACTACAAACTTTATCCGCTCATCTTTTAAAATTTTCAATGCGAATGACATTACACGAATCCTCCATGATGCAAGTATCTACGATACAAGAAGGTGCGTATACGCGTATACTCGCGGCAACGGAAAGACTCGTTTTTCCTTCAGATCTCGATAAAAAATCCTATTTTATTCATTTATATTTTCATGATCTATTATTCCTTTTCTCTGTGCTCTTCATATTCCACACATGTTATAATAATAAAATCTGGAATTTGTTTCTCGCGCTTCCTTTTTTTCGCTTTCCTCTATGACCTCGGGGACACAATATGTAACTGCATACGCTAACCTTCCAGTAGGGGGAATATAAATATATTTCGCAAGATCTGGCCCTATACCATGACAAGATTCAGTCACTAGTTATCCCGTTTCACGTCTCGGTCCTCCAATCCCTAGTTACTCGTTAAAACCTAACACCTGACCACCAACTGGCGTCAAACTACTCTCCCTGTGCTCTCACCCCTCCCTTCCCTTCCCTTCCCTTCCCCTCTCTCTCTCTCTCTCTCTCTCTCTCTCTCTCTCTCTCTCTCTCTCTCTCTCTCTCTCTCTCTCTCTCTCTCTCTCTCTCTCTCTCTCTCTCTCTCTCTCTCTCTCTCTCTCTCTCTCTCTCTCTCTCTCTCTCTCTCTCTCTCTCTCTCTCTCTCTCTCTCTCTCTCTCTCTCTCTCTCTCTCTCTCTCTCTCTCTCTCTCTCTCTCTCTCTCTCTCTCTCTCTCTCTCTCTCTCTCTCTCTCTCTCTCTCTCTCTCTCTCTCTCTCTCTCTCTCTCTCTCTCTCTCTCTCTCTCTCTCTCTCTCTCTCTCTCTCTCTCTCTCTCTCTCTCTCTCTCTCTCTCTCTCTCTCTCTCTCTCTCTCTCTCTCTCTCTCTCTCTCTCTCTCTCTCTCTCTCTCTCTCTCTCTCTCTCTCTCTCTCTCTCTCTCTCTCTCTCTCTCTCTCTCTCTCTCTCTCTCTCTCTCTCTCTCTCTCTCTCTCTCTCTCTCTCTCTCTCTCTCTCTCTCTCTCTCTCTCTCTCTCTCTCTCTCTCTCTCTCTCTCTCTCTCTCTCTCTCTCTCTCTCTCTCTCTCTCTCTCTCTCTCTCTCTCTCTCTCTCCTCCATCTATCTATCTTTCTATCTTTCTATCTATGTATCTATTTCTCTCTATCTCTGACTGGAGGATGAGCCTTTTTTCAAGATACTTAGATATCGAACTGTTCAAAAATAGACGTATTATTCCGGCCATATATGGTCCATGTTGAACGATACGATCTCTCCTCCTCGATTCCAATTGTCAGCAAACCTCGAGGTCTTCGGTTCCAAGACGATCTATTCGCAGATGCTGCCGCGCTGAAATGACAACCTCTTCTCCTGGACTATCCTGACTATGCAACTGGCATGGCTCGAGGCGTTTTAACGTTTCTCTACTTGTCCTGACAGGATGTCGTTTCCTTACGCGTCGTCTCTGTAGCCTCGATCACCTCGAACCCTTCCGATGTAGAGGTATCGGTGGATGATCCATTGTCTCCGATCTTCGAGGAGGAAGCAGCGTTCCTAGATACTCCCACTTCCTCTATTTTCGGTTGCGTCCTCGCTTCCGCGCTAGTGTTCGAAGCTGTTGACTCCGTGAGATTCTCTGTCGCTAAGATTCAAAGCAATGTTCAGCAGATCCCGGTGTAACGATACGGGGAGAAGCGACGCACACAAAAAGCCATGGGAAGATTGGAAAACGAAATTAAGTGAGTAATTAGCAGGCAGTAGAACCGTGACGAGCTGGGATCAAGATGAATGGAAAAACACGGTGATATATTTAAGTAAGCGTGGCAGCGGGCGTGAAACATTCGTGACATGTTAGATCTAATTAACCCTTTGAGTATTTGTGTCCTGCATAATCTGAACATGAATATATTTCCTATAAACGATGCAAGATTTTCCATGATCGTTAGTACCAGTATTATGGTTTATGTGAACGATATACATATATATAACTTAAAAATTGTTCTTTTATGGAAGACCTAAGTATTTGGTCATGGATTGTCATGCCTCCTGTGTTGCCATTGTGCGTAAAATTTTATAGCATAGGAATAGGTTTTCTATAAACATGATCTACTAATGCATAGTTGGAAAGAATCAAAATTTGATCAACAGATAACGTGCTGATAATTGGTATCGTTTGTTCGTTTCACACAATTGGATATTCGTTCAAGTTAGTATTCGAATTGATCAATACCTTACTAAGGTAGGAATTATTCATTTTATTCGTACCTTTGCTTATACTTTCATTATCGAGGTATCAGTTTATTTACGTAAATCAGATAGAATTAAGAGAGACGCATGGGTACGAAAATAAATGAATAACGAAGAAGATAAAAAAATATTTTGTCGTTCTATGTGAGCGTATCAAAGAGTAGCGTTATCCGACTATGATAATGAGCGAGTTGTAAAAACAAACATCCAACTACAAAGTGTCTTTTATGAAAATTAATATTACATGGCAGATTAATGAAATGTGACCAAGGTATTCTTACGAATTCACACTCATTCGATAAAGTCATTCTCAGCCAGGATTCGGAAACAAAAATAGGTATTTTTGTTCCATAAAATGTGTGTTCCATAAAAATCATTATATCGGTAATTTTAATATAATTTAATGGAAAAATTAGGGAAGAATCGAAATACGTATAACTGTTCGTTTTTGATAGAAGATAAGAACCACTTTGTAGTCTAAAGTCGCATCTAAAGTAGCTAGCTTGATAATCTTTTTCCCTTATATCTTGCTTTATTTTATTATTATTTATTATATATTATATAATATATAATATATATTATATATTACACATTATATATTATGTATTATGTATTATGTATTATGTACTATGTATCATATATTATATATTACATATTATATATTATATATATATATTATTAATCACAGTGACTGCAAAATATTCTACCATATTCATTATTTCATGACGAATTATTTCTAACAGAAATATACAAATTATATAAGTACAAATACTATTCTATGTATCCATTTTACTCGTTGAGAGAATTATGAGCTGCTCGAATCACGGAGAAATACGATAAATAGAATTAAAAGAGGGAAAACTAATTAGTGCAAAGCGTCAGTGCGAATTGGTACATGATCATAAGGTATCGTATGCTGAATGATACAAACGATTCCAGAAGTGACAACTATCTGTATCAGGAGCTACAAAACGCACTTTCAACATTGTATAATGTTTCAAACCGCATAGTTTTAGCAGTGTACATGCATGCGTTAATCACACAATCTCGGAACAACAAATGAAAATCAAAGCTTGTGTGTGAAAAGTCAAGGTGAGGAACTATGTAAGTGATAGAATTAATGGAAATACGTTTTCTGTTTTTATCGAAAATGTCCACTTCTGCGCTTACATGGTTTGCCATTTCGACTCGTACATTACAAAGGAATGCAAAATGATATATGCAAATTATCGTCTACTTCTACCTTCGTTATTTACCTTTGTTATTTTGTTCTTCGGTGGACGAAGGGGTTACTATTGTGACTTCGACTCGTTTCTCCAAATGAACAACGGAAGCGGTCGAATTCGACTCAGCTGGCGATGGACAGTTCGATGATGTTTCTTGTGTCGGTTCAGGTTCTGTGACACCTGCTGACTCTCGTGCCGGTGAAGATTCAGGTGTTGGTTCTGTGCTAGTCAGTGCCCGATTTAGATTAGGCGAAGGCTGTTCCGGTGAAGGGTCAGCCATGCCAGGCTGTGCATGATTGCGGAACAGGAGATGCTGTAATTGAGCCTGCTGTAGGATCACGGGCAGCTCGTAGTGATGGAAGAAGTATAGCATCGAGTGCTAAAATTGGTAACAGAAACGTGGATAAATAAACTGATTACTTTTTACTCAGCTTTTTTTAATAACTTTCTGTGAAAGGACTACATAAAGGCTGACTCTGTAATAACCCTATAATAACTGACTCTAATTGTATGTCTCTAAGTCCCGACCAAAAAATCGAGATGATAATTTAAAAAGTCTTAGAAAGACTAAGAAATTTCTTCAAACGGTAAACGGTGTCCATTTTTCCAACTGGAATTTCGTTTTCAGTAATCGATTAATAAGCAAATTTAACATCATTGATTTGATGGTGTATTAAAACTACGATATTTAGTTTGTGAATTTGTGGCGGTCACTATCGATAGTGTTAGATGGAATATAGGTATGAGATACACGGCCTCGTGATATCGGCTGTTCAACGAAGTACACGCATGTGTGTGTCGCTCCTGCCCAACAAATTTATATGGAAATTCACCAAATTTGTTCTATACCGTTTCTCTCGTTCTCTCCGTGCTCTTCGAAAGCTTTGCGTCATCCATCTCTCTTTATCCCTCTTCGTCATGCTTCCGAACTCACCGCCTATCGCAATACCCTCATTCAACTGTAGTTACAAACATTCCACGCGTGTATATGAAGTATAAATAATTTCGCTGTTACCGTAGAACAAATAAGAAAATTTCTACTGATACAATGAAGCAAGATTGGCCATTTTTGCTCCATCGAAATTCACCCTCTGTTGCTAACATTGGCGAAACTTGATTGGCCGAAATTGGCATAAAACTGAGAAAGTACGCAATAATTATTGTCTCTTGAACATGGTAAATGATATCAAAATTCTATGATGCATTCGAACATCTTTCTACAAAATATCTGACAACGGTTACATTTGTCATCGTAATTCATCATAATTTATATTATAACAAATTGCTACATTTTCTGAAATGTTTGTCGGTAGAATATATTTAGAACATCTGTTGTACACGACTGTTATGCAGGTAACAAGAAAGAAAGAAACCTTAAGGTTAGTTCTATTATCTACCTTGTACTACGCTTTGGAATACTACGCTTTTATCCTACCCAATGATACCCATTTTCAGTTGAATGACCGATTCCATAAGTCACGTTGGTCAAGATAACACGTCATGTTAATCAAGATCCGATTAAATATTTACAAAGATTACTGATAACTTAGAAACAATAAAGTTTCAAGTATCTATTACCAAAGATGGTAATGCAGTCTTTACAGTCCTAAAGATCATTTTATTTGGATATCGCTCTGATCATTGAAATTTTTCAAAAAAATGTTTAAGTCAATTTATGGAATACCAGTCGAGGATTAACCCATAATTAACAAAGGACAAAGACAAATGTTCTCTCGATCTTTCATTTTCGCATATACTCGACGAATTATCGAAACGATATTGATCGATACGTTCACGTTCGGAGCGACATACAAATGTAGCCAAGATTCTTCGAAGTGGCCCAAATTGAAGATCCAAAAAGAAGCAACGTCGAAATGAAACGCGTAAACCGATAACTTAGGAGATACGAAACGGTAGAAGAAAAGAACGAGAGAAAAGAAGGGGAAACCGGAGAAAGAAAAGAATTGGAAGAATGAGACAAACGCGGAGAAGTTGAATATGGAAAATAGATATCTCGAAACATCGGGCACCTGTCATCGACATGAAGGAAATGGTATCCACGGTGATTCGTCTGATATAACGAAACGAATTTGCATCGTTTCAGAAAAAAGAACACGTCTACGCGAGTGATAGAGTTCGACCGAGGCAGCTGCCATCGGTTAGGTTCGAGGAAAAAGGATGACCAGGATAAAACGATAGCTAGAGTGAAACACGTTACCGAGGAAACCAGATTTTCGTTTCCTGGATAATCAACGCCGATGACATCGATATCGACCAGCATATAATCACGCCGCGGGGCTAATCGCCCCGATTTTCTCACCTATATAGAAAAGAAGCGAATGGTTGGATGAGTGAGGATGAGAGAGAGAGAGAGAGAGAGAGAGAGAGAGAGAGAGCGAGAGAGAGAGAGGGGGAGAGGGAGAGGA